GGAGATTCCAAAAATAATATTATATACAGAGTGTTCCATTTGAAAAATCAAAGTTGCTACTGCTTTCTAATAGAAGCGGCAACACCGCATTGTCGAAAATATTTTAGTTGGCTAGAGAATGTCCGACTATGCCCTCCATTAAATTTTCAAAGCGATCCGTTGTTTGGTTCACCAGAAACGTCTAATGTGCCATCCACCGTGAATCAGCCTGTATATAGTAAAAATAGCGACTCGCCCCGGCTCCGCACGGGTGCGGAAGTTTAAGGGCATGGAGAAACAGTTATGAAAAGATGATTTTGTTTTATGGACGCGCCTTTTTCCCCCGCGGCCGGCTCCCCAGTTGGAATGTTTTAAAATCATTTCTTATTGCACATTTACAACATAAAAAAACCTACATTCAAAATTTCAGCCTCCGAAAATATAGCGGAAAATATGAAAAGGTAATTTTCATATGTAATCGCGCCGCTTCTACTCCCATGGGGGACGGCCCAGTTGGAATATTTGTAAATCCTTTCTTAGTGCACATCTAAGACCTAAGAAGCACCTGTACATAAAATTTTAGCTTCTTAGGATTTACCAGTACAGAGATGAATAAGTGAGTGACTTTCGAATTTATAAGTATAGATAGATATAGATAAAAACCAAAATATGCATTTCTTGGTGAAATTATAGTTTTGTATTTATGTAACGCAAAGCGAGTCAAATTTGACCTGTGGAGACTATGTATCTGTCAAATCTTCGACATGTTTTAACAATGAGCCCAGCAAATATGTTACATTGATTAGAACTGATGGTTAGTATTTCGAGGTAGTATTTTTGTTCTGGTGTGGGATGAGTGTTTTCAACAGGTACACTTATAAAAATAATCCTAAAGTAATCAGCCATATTTATTCAAAACGTATAATTTTCGAAATGTTCAATTGTACTCGTCTATAACAGGTCCAATAGTCCAAGATACCCGGGCCACCAGACGTCACGTATTTTCTGACGAAGGAAATGTGGACTATTGAGTAGTGTTAGTATGTACTAAGAACGCATGCCTATCTGCTAGCTTGCTTAGACGGCCTCACGTAAATTTTCCAAGCTGATTTTTACGTATATTATAGGCGATATCCTTGAAAATAAGTCGCCAATACTCCCAAACACTTTCCGTAGTCCGTATTGCTTTACAGACACTTTCCGTAGTCCGTATTGCTTTACAGACACTTTCCGTAGTCCGTATTGCTTTACAGACACTTTCCGTAGTCCGTATTGCTTTACAGACACATTAAAGCTCCCAAAATAATTACTTAACTTTACGTAAATGCTGATGCCCCATTTTCATATATGTTCACCAGACAACTATTTTGAAATCTTTTACAAGAAGACAGACCTATCCAAGGGGCCAATCATCCCCTAAATTCAATTTTAAACCTCTTTGGGTAAGAGCGCAAGGACATTATCCACGAGCATGGGACTGAGTGAGTGAGACATGTATTAGGATATATTGTAAAAAATGCTCATTTGACTACAATAATTTTAGAATTTTATCTTGCAAGCTGTTTTGATAAATTCAAAAAACTTTAATTTTATTTTAAGAAATGTCAACTCGATAGTAGTATTCAAATGAGCATTTTTTTACAAGGAAATTTTCAATTATTTACCTGATATTTTAATTTTTACCTGATTTAAAAAAATATTATTAACTAATTGATATGATCAAACTGAAAGAGAGAGAGAGAAAAGTTAATATATCCTAATACATGTCTCATGTACTCAGTCTCATGCCTGTGGATAATGCTCTTGCGCTCTTACCCACAGAGGTTTAAAATAGCTAGCTAAGAAAACGAGGTCTTACCTTTTAACGTGTGATTCCTAATACGGTTGCAGAATCATCCCAGTTTCAACCAGATAAATTCTCTCGAGAGAAATATGTCTTAATAATAATTATTAAGACACGCCCGAGGAAGCCATTGTATGGCGAAACACGTGTTGCGTTTTTGTAAAACTATCTAGTGAAAATCACACAATAAAGTGTTTTTAGAATACGTTAGTTATAGATTTTCATCAAGTATCGGCCGATTCCATCATATATAGAAAGTTTCATTTCTCTTTTGTATTGTATTTCACATTGATACTTCTCGAACTGGTCGTGTTTAAATAAACAGATCAACATTTCTGGAAGTTTCTGTATCTATGTCCTCTTTCATTAATAGTTTACGAGTTGTTTTCCATCCTCTCCAGAAGTTACTTCCATGACAATTTCGAAATAGCTACTATAACTGGCACGCCTTCCGTTAAGTCTTCACAATATTATGAATTGTTGGTATTTTGGAAACCTGTGATCTATAACACGACAATTATCAAAACCTATAATATAGTTAATAATTTATAAATAACAGTTCTGTGTGTGAAGAGCAGTTGTGCTTGTCTTCTTTATTCCCATCATTTCTTTCCATAAATCGTATTCGAAATTGCTGGGCTGATCCGAGTGTAACTCCTGGGGTACTCTGTGTCTAGCTTTACCGTTCTGCATCAGCTCTTCTGCCACTGTTTCTCTCGAAAGGGCACCCACTGAGGTACTGTTAGCCTTGACTGTGGACCCTTCCTCAAGGTGCACAGGTCACAGCATTTGCACCACTCATTCACGTCTCGCCGGCAATTGATTCAATAGTGCCTTCCACACGTATTCTCGCTAGAGTTCTATTTACTCCGAAATGTCCTACAGTGAGACCGTCGCGGAGCTGTTTGAGTATTT